TATATAGGGACAAGATCAAATGTTAAAGTTTTTGTGTTAACTTTGCAAACCATGTCAACCAATCACAATCCATTCTTCTATTAGGTTTCTATCATGTTCACAATTTAATGTCAAGGGTAATTGAGTAATTTCATTTGATATGTAACTCTCATACCATTAAAGAGAAGTTACAAAATCATAAAATCTCTAAAAATATACATTTATAATATTGATATTTTATTTATTTTTTAATCTTGATCTTTTATTTTTATTGTTTTATGAGTTTTTGATTCATGGAGGAAACACGATAGTAAAATCTTCGGTATCGTTCAAGCTATTATGGATAAATGCATTGAAAAAAAAAATCGACAACATTGAGAAGATTAAAATGGTTTATGGTGACAATCGGAGTTCGAGTTCGGGAAGTGAATAAATTAACCAAAGTGAATGTTAATGGATTAATATTTTATTAGACTCGTTTTAATCAAAATTATGTTCATATGATGTGTTGTGTTTTWTGTAGTTCATATTGCGTTGATAACTTTTTCTTTAATTATTAATACGTACTTAATTCACATGTTCAAATGGAAGTACATGCACGACCCATTTTCATATTGTCATATTACCGACTTTTATGAATCATGAACCATTGTGTTCATGTTACTTCTATCATATGAACACAAGTGTTTTTTAAGCTAGATACCAGATTTTTATATTTGTGTAAGTGTTTGCATCTGGTGTTCATAGCGTCAGGGTTATGTGTTCATATTTTTTATATGATATGAACAAGGGGTGTACAACCACATAAGACCAGAAACATATATGAACAAGGGGTGAACCTTAAACAGTGTGGATGCAATGCATGTATAAAACTTCAATTGACAAAGGATCGCTCCTGAATGTGTTTATAATGAAAGAATTATTGTTCACAAGCTGTTCATATTGTGTTCATACCTGCTTTTTTTTTTTATTTTCTTTCGTATAATAGTTATTCTTATTACGTTCATAATTGTGTTCATAAATGCTATTCACTCCAAGTTCATATATATGTCAATTTTTTGCTCGTATTTGACACAATGGTTCTGTTAGGTTTAAGTAAAAGCTTTATTGTTGTATTCAAGTTTCTCCTTAGTTTACTTGCTTTGTAATAGTGTAGTTTTACTATTTCCTTAGTATAAATAGTATTTTCCTTGTAATTGTCATTACGAAGTCATTAGCAGAATTGTAATCAAGATTAGAGCTGTAATTCTCTCTCTCTCAATCAAATCAGTAACATTTGATGATCTATTTTCTCTACTATTACATTCATCTTGTTCTTGAAGATCTTATCATTTTTGTATGAATCTTGGACTTCACAATTGGTATCAGAGCAGRCTRCAGCAGTTTCGATTARAGGATTAAACATTTTTGCACATTTTTGCACGAATTTTTGAAGATTGATCGATCTGGGTTTTTGATGTTCATAAGTGTTCTTCGTCCAGATTTGATTTTTGAGCCTAATTTGGTTAATTTTTGATTGTTAATTGAAAAGATTTATATCGCTAGATTCGTTTTTGTATTTCGAACAACTTTGATTCACACTATTTTTTATTTTAAGCAAGTTTTGAACCCGGTTTAATTGATTTTTGAGTTTTCGTATTCTGGTAAATGTTCTTCAAAACTCATATTTTTTCATGTTTTGATCCAAATTTTTAGTAAAAAGTGTGAAATTTTGTGTTTTTGGTTGAATGTTAGTCCGCTTAACTCTTGATCGATTTAGGGTGTTATCCGCTTAAAGCTTGTGCGATTTAACATCCGTGTGTTTTTGAGTTGTTTGTTATAGGTTTATCCGGACAACACTTGTGCGGATAATCAAGCGATTTAGATAATTCGTCTGGTAAATCGTTGATGTCTTGAACGGATTATTGAGCGATTTAACTAATCCGTCTGGTAAGTCGTTGGTAACTTGTGAGGATTAGTGGGCGATTTACACAATC